GTCACACTCTCGCACCACCAGTTGTTTGAGATCACTAAGCCTAGCTGAGCAGCCAAGATCACGAGCCCAGCTCGTCCGGGGTCTGCTGCAACCTCTTCAGCCTGTGATTGGACTGGCTGGACATGCAAATTCTTGAAGGGTATGAAAAGGGTCATGAAAAGGGTCATGAAAGGATATGGAAAGGATATACAAAAGGGTCTGAAAAGGGGTATACAAAGGGTATGAAAAGGAGGCACTCGGCCTCTAGGCCAAGCAAAAAACAAGTCGAAAAAGAAATCCGCTCGACACGCAGTCGCGCAGAATTTTCCTTGACATCATCAGCTGACCTCAGAATGGAAATCATGTGAAAGCACTATGATCATGGCTGCGCCATTCCAAGCCCGGAAGACCCGCAGTCCTCTGTGTTGGTCGGGCCCAAGTAGAGGAAGGCCCCCTCCAACCCTCAGCATCCCGTGCGTTTGCCTCTTTGCCCGCTTCCGACGCTTGCGAGCAGGACCCCGTAGAATGAGTGCTCTCGGATGACTAACCTGCACACGTGCGCTGCGCGCTTTTAGGTCTTCTAGCCTACGACGCTAACCGGGGCCCCGCGCGAAACCACAATTTTTACAACGTTGGAAAACATTTTTACAAAATGTGGCACATGCGCGGGCCTACGGCTTAGCTTCGTCGTATGCATACACACCGTGTTCTTTGGGGGAGGTGGGGTGGGCTTGGGTCTAATTTCCGACGCTTGCGCGCAGCCGCTTCATACACAGCTGCAAACATGCAGCATACTACCGCACTTCGTCTTTCGTTGTGTTTTCTTCTCTTGTTACCGGTGCTTTTCCGCTTTCGACGACCACCCTGTGTTGAAGAATGTTTTCGCGATCGACCCGTGGGTTTTGGACTCTGCCTTGGACCTTTTCACTCAGCCATCTGACCTAGGACCTAGGTGGTTGCTGCGGGTTCTTGTGGTCAATTTGGGTTTCGCACTTCACGTCCTTACTTCACAGACATTCGTCGAACCTCTATGTCGCATCTTGTTAAAACCCCGGGCTTTGTTGTTTTTTGAGATAGGCTCGCAAGAGGTGACCTGGCTTTTGCATTGGCAGGCCCAACATAAAAGGCACTTGGCGCGCAGGGTGATTGAGAGAAAAGGTTGGTTTGGAGAAGGGCCGAAGCAAAAACGCCGTTTCTTTTCTTCAGCAGATCAACCAGGCGACCGCCTTCCGGAAGATCGGCCTGTGCGTTCCAGCGAAACGGAAGTACCTAGTAAACGAGCGCGTAGACCGTAGACTTAGGAAACGTCGCGACAACATGATGTCTTCGTTTCGCGTGGGGCCCCGGTTAGCGGCTAGCGTCGATGCCTTGTTTTTTCTGTCTACCTGAACACTGCACTGGGTGCTGGTCAAGGCCAAACTCTTCCGTCGAGCGACTTGCCGCAAATTGCACAACGGAACTACAGCCGCGTGCAAAGAGCAGTGGCCAGCGCAATGCCGGCGCCGAGTCCTAACAACTGTTCCCTCAAGCCCCTCTCATCCCACAACACCCGATACGGCTGCCCTGCGCAATATGTAATGTTCGGCTTGCTCTTAGAGGCAACGGCAGTCTGGTGATAAGTGATAAGCCAAATCCTCTGGTCCATCTATGTGTGTGTGTGTGTGACGTCCTGTTCTTGAGGACCTCTGACACAAACTAACTTGTACAGTTCAGCACTTGGCAAACTCAGTGCAACGAAGCTATGCCTTGGAGTGGGAAGCACGGATTGATCACCCGTATGCACCTGCAATGTTAAAGCTCACCGTCTCGTTTTACCCATGTTAAACAATATTGTTTGATGCGGGCTCTTTCACCCTTCAATTCACCAGCCAAGGTCGAATCTGCAGTAAGCGTAAAGTGCTAATCTCACAGGGATGTCATAACTGATATAGCTCTTGCGAGCATGGATCTAAGTGTGTGTCTGTGTAGCTCTGGCTTTTGGCCATAATTAACCATATATATATATATATATTTGTTTTTGATCCTCTAAGTGTCAAGCGTAGACCACCTAAGTCACCCGAACACCCCTGGGTGCGGCACAGGCAGGCAGTTCGACACCGGGTCCCGCCGGGATGAGCCCTGCCCTGCAGTGAACCGACGCCACGCTTGCATCTAGTATCTGTGGGTGCAGGAGACGTGTTGCGGTGGCAACAATGGGGTTGTGGCAAGCTTGTTGGGGCCCTATATGCGCTCTGGAGAGCAACTGGAAGTCCTCACTCCTCACTTACCCATGTCCAACAAGGAGGAGCCCCTAAGGCTCCACAAAAACAAGGTCATACCTGGAAGACTGTCGAAGCACCGCTGCCTCAAACCAGACTTCGTGGCCGCCCGCAGCAGCCCCTCATGAGCCGGGCTGTAGGCATAAGGGTCGTGCCCTGCTGCAGCCTGGAGCTCCTGAGACGGTCCAAACGTGGATCTTCCAGGATGTTGTGTTAGCCCTTTGTCGCCTGGGTTGTGACCTGTTCTGCCTTGCGGAAGTCCACACACCAGCAGCCCCATATCTGAGTCGAGCGGTATGAAAAGGGTATGAAAGGGGTATGAAAAGGATATGAAAGGAATAGGAAAGGGGTATGAAAAGGGTATGAAAAGGGGTATGAAAAAGGTACCCCCGGACCACCTCCCAAAAAAAAAGAGGCCCATCCTGGGGCATCCACGGGTAGGCCATGGATCAAGGATTCCCCCACAAGTCGCCTAAACAAGCCCATAACATAGCCTCTCTAGGAGAGGAGGGCCATCTTCATTTAGCGGAGCCTTGTGCCCCAATTCAATGGACACCGCAAGTGGCTATTGAATGCTATTGGCTTCCCACGATATCCTTTGCGTGCGCTGAAGGACCCAGACAAGGAATCCGTCATCTGAGAACATCATATCTGAGAGACCTACCATGAGAAAGCCAAAAAGACTCTGTACTCACCATGCATCGGAGCCTTGCAGAAAGAATGTTGAACCCCCCACATCTCCTGTGCAAACTGAAGGTTGATGGTGCCACCACCCACCTGCACAGAGATTTGCGGTCGACCTGAAGACTCTTGCTCCAGAAGTCTTCATGAGTCCCTTATTCTTGGTGAACGGTGAAAGTCACACACTTCGGATCGCGGGACAGCGATTTCGATGGCCAAAAAATGAAAGTAGCTGCCACCCATCCCACCAGAGTCTAAAACTCCCACTCCCGCAAAGCCTTTTAAGACCCCGATGTTCTCAACCAACTCCGCCCTTGGCGCTTTTTCGGGTCCAACTCACCTTGAGCTTTTTGCCGTTGCCCGCATTGACCGACGCAAAGGCTTTCGAGTCTTCGGGCGTCTTCTCGTAAATGGCCGTGAATTTCACACCCAGGGTCCTGACACAAATCTCGCTCCCTCGCAGAGAAAATATAAGAAAATGAAACATCAAAAAATCAAAAGAAGAATGGAGGACTGGCATCTCTACCACATGATGGCCCTCCCATGTTGGAGACAAGTGATTCAAAAAATGAACGGCAGTGAATGCGGACGAGTGGCTTGGGGTCGGGGCAGAACGAGACCTCGATCACAGCAGCGACAAAGAGGCTTTGAACACCACCCCAAAATGAACAAGTTTTGGAAACTGACATCTTGGGTAGGACATGGTAGGATAAAACTGGATATGGAAGGACATATCAAGTTTTGTCCTACCATCTCCTACCCACTGAAAGCACCAGTTCCCCTATGGACGGCCCAGGTGCCGCAGGAAGGTTTTGTGACGCAATCGTGTCGCTGCAACACATGCGTCACTTGAGGCATACATGGCCAAGTCCCGGACTCTGCTTTACTTGATTAAGTCCTTTGGTTGGGAACAATGCAGGATGCCCTAACAGAAGTGATGTGGTTGATGAATATCGGTGCTTCTTGTGACACCCCGCAGTTGAACGAACATACTTCCCGCCACGTGGATAGACACCCAAGCACTCAGCTCAGCCATGGCACTTTGGCCTTCTCCAGGTGTTGCCAAGGAGGATCCTCTACAGCCTCCATGAACCCAACGACCATCGGCGACGTGCCGGGGGCTCGCGTCGGCCCAAAACCGAACCGCACAGGATGTTCTCCCCCACCTCGCGTTTGAAGACTGGCCTGAATAGGGCCAAAGCTGGACAGTGTGAAGACCCATGGTTGACCAAAGACCGAAGACCCCACATGCTAGCAACGACCAATGGGCAGGTATAATTCTGACATTTCCCATCGGCACCGTTTGTGCAGCGTTGTTGTCCATCAATCCTAGTCATTCACTGAGACTTCAACTTGCAGCGCTGGTTCCAGTACTGCTGGATCTCCTGCGCGCCAAGGGCACTCCTTCCGACCACATCTGAAAGCTCTCAAACTACCTTTTCTCCACGGTCTCTCTTCCTGTTGGCTGTACTGCCGCGCGTAGAACGCAGAGATGTCCTGCAGTCGCTGCGGACAGCACTTTCGAGGACTGTGTCTCTATGGCCCTTCACAGAATCCAAATTTTTGCGCTGTTGCTGGTCATGAAAATGCCATTTGGGGCTCATGTACGCACACGGGCTCCCTCGGCTGAAGCGGCTTGGAAGTCCTTGAAGGTATAAGCCACTCCATCGGCAGGATCAACTCTCTTCTCCATGCGCAAACTTAGCACGGTGTAACAAATATGGCCATGCCATCATCCCCACTCGGCGTATGAAATGATGTGCTTGCGTGATCACTTGCTGGGATGAGGAACCTTTCCCTAGTGCCACTTGCTGCACAACAGACTGCTAGAAAGCACTATAGAGTGGTAAACCTAGTAAAAGCATGATGCTAAGCTGCTGCGGAATGCAGTCTGGCTGATTCGGCCACAGTCTAGTCTAAAGCTGGTCAATTTGGTGGGCGAAACATGTGGGGTGAGCGCGGCCGATTCCTGCACAACCGCTGGTCCATCAACTGTGGTGTTCAAAGCCGTAGACCCCCGAAGGAGAGGGCAACTAGAGGGTTTCAGGTTTGGGGATCTCGGGTGTGGTGGCTCCACCTCGCCTGCGCAAGCTGCATCATCTCCTTGGGTGCCAATGCATCAAACAGACATGCTGAAGCTGCTGTGATCGAGGTCAATTACACAGTGGATGTCATCTGCTCTCAGTTCCAACCTTCAAGCCCCTGGGGCGCTCACCTCCCCCTCACGGAGCATCTCCCAAATGGAGTCCAAGGAAGGTTCCAGCAGAGTTTGAGCCTCAGCCTGGCATTGAACCTGGCATCCACAACGTTTTGTCTTCGGGAAATCTTCTGCAGATTCGTGGGAGAAGCACTTGGGGATGAAACAATCCCAAAGCTGTTTCACGGTCTAGGCCCAGGCTACTAGCAGCTAATAGGTCAGGGTTTGATGCCGGCAGCATGAGGTTGGATAAGCTTTGATGCGCTCGCGGCCTCCAAGCGCTCCCAAAACTCGGCGCTCTTTGCATCTCCGCCAACAGCTTCCAGTAGCGCATGCGCTTCCCTGGATGGGACAGTCGATACAAGTCGGGACTGATCTTGCCGCAAGAGCCTGGACCCTTTCCTGCTTCATGGACCCTTTTCCTGCCATCTCTACAACCACGCCATGAAACCCACAGACAAGACACAAATGTTGATATCAAACCCCACTTCCTTTTCCCAGAACAGCCACGCACCCTGCGGTGCCCGCTCGGTGGAGAGCAAAGTCCCTCACTTGTGGAGAGCAAAGCACGGTCGCGGTGAGACCGCGACGCCTAGACTGCAGTCGGTTGTGGCGATCCACCCAGTTGCATTCTCAGCCGAACGTGGCGCAGGCACTTTTTGATGGATTCCCGCATTTCCGTGTTCGATCTGATTTTGCGTTTGGCAGGTCGTTTGGCAGGTCAACTGGGAAAACCGAAGCCCACAGCCTCGCAAAAGCTCGGCCCATGGGCTGAGCAACGTCACTTGATGGCCTTGTGATGCGGCTCCTCTGGCCGACACGGGGAAGAAAACTCTCTCTCTCTCTCTGTCTGTCTGTCTGTCTGTCCGGCTGCCTGCCTGCCTGCCTGCCTGCCTGTCTGTCTGTCTGTCTGTCTGTCTGTATATATATATATATATAAACCCCTCACGTTTTGGGCTTCATTTGGGAGGTCCTGAGTCAAGTGAGGCATCTTAAAGAAACCTCGAAGGTCTCAAACCAAGACTTCTGTCGGATTGAGTCTCCCAAAATGGAGCCCAAATCTCAATTGGTTCACTGCTTGTTTCCATCTGCTCTGCACTGGAACCGTGCGAAGCACCCCGTCCTCGCTCGGCACGAAGCGGGACGGAGTCACTGGCGCCGGCTCGGCGTCTGCCTGCATGGCACGGGACTTCGAGCGAGCGGGAGGTGGTGGAAAAACGTCCGGAGAAGCAAGTCTACACCAAGTGGAAGGGTGACTAGAGCTGTTCTTTTTCAGGTTCCTGCCGGTCTTTTTTTGTGCCCTTACAGTGGCCTTTGTGCAAGCAGGTGGTAGTGGCTGACGGTAATAGAAGCAAGCTGCTGCAAAAGAACACAAAGGACTTCTCTCAGCCAACTGCTTCAACGACTTCTGTTTCGCATTGATCACCGTCTGTCTGACCAGTCTGGCCTGGCCCTTCAAAACAAGGCTCGCAAAAATGTTCACACAAAACTCACCTGAGAAACTCACCTGTTTCTCCAAGCTGGACCCCAGCAGACGGTCCTGTTTCTCCAAAACAAAAATCGACTGCCATCCTCCCGTTGAACTTCAACGACTGCCTCCCCACGCTGCTCCAGCAAGGATCGCAGTCGCCGCTTGAGCTCTCGATTCACCGCCTTGTAGTACTGGTTGTCTCCTTCGTTCGCTTCGAAGACGGGGAGGAGAGCAGTGCAGCAGGGGTGCCTAGCTGTTTGTGATGCAAATTCAGTCTTCCTCTTTGCTCGACTCTTCCAATGCTACCGGGAGGAGAAAAAAGATAATCTCGCCAAACCCACACCACTCTAAGATTCCAAGGAAGAGTTGGAAGATGTTCCTCTACAGGAACTCTACTGGCTGCGGCATGTGATGATCTTGAGGTTGGTACCACAAGGGGCCTTACATAATTTTATGATATGTAACAAGGTGATGCTAGAGCCTCAAGCTGAAAAGCCTCCACTTCTGCCCCTCACCCCCAACAAAAGAAGGAACTGCACTTGGTTGGGCAATTGGAAGGACCAAGCACCCACATGAGAATCCTGAGGGAAAGCAACATCCGCAATCAGCCAAATGCCGACCATTCACGTCAGAATCCTCGCGTTTTGAGTTTTCACTGAGTGCCGGGCTTCGCACCTGCTCAACCTGCGGCGAGCTCAAGGAACCCTACTGCTGGAGGAAGAAAATCCTTCACCACGTGAGGTTGCTAAGACCTAGTCAACTCAGCCAACACAATCTTCCTCCTCCGTGAAGTCGAACGCCTCTTTGACTCCTTTGCTGTCAAGCTGCACCGCGATCGAGAAGGCACAAATGATCACTGGCATTTGCCGTGTCGGTGCCGGGAAAGTGCGAACCTGTGAAACTGCAAAAATTGGTGTCGACGGATGGTGCCCATCCGTACATTCACCGAACCTCTCACCACTCGAAACTGAATGAGCCTACATCCCCTGATGAGCCTACACAACGCTCCGTGATGGGGAAGGAACACCCAAATCCCGAGCGGATGGACTTGGGGCAGAGTTGCTCACATTGCTCAGGCTCTTCTTCCTATCCATCTTCTCCCTGATCAAGCCCCTGGTGTAAGGGGAGTTGGCGAAAAGCATGTCCATTTTGCTGCTCATCCGCGAGATGTCGCGCTGCAACTTGTTCAGGTCGTAGCTTCGGGCAATCCCCTTGATCCGCATCAGGCCACTTTCAAACTCTTCCAAGGAGATCTCACCGTCTCCGTCGTCCAACATGTTGAACAATCCCACTAAGTCGTTCGTCTCGACTTCCAGCTGATGCAGCCAAAGCTGAAGCTTTGGATGTTGCAACAACTCTTGGAACTCGCTCGCCTTACGGAGCCGGAAGGAACTGCAAGAGATCCAGGTCTCGTGGGCTTGCATGAGGAATGGAATTCTTTCTTTGGCTTCGGGTTACGGGACCCCAAAAGAATCACGTTCTGTCACAAAAACCACACCTTCCAACGGAGCACCTTGATGAGGTAGATTCTTCCAGGCGAAATCCACACCATAAAATCAGAAATCCCCAGAACATGTGGGCGTTGCTCGTCTGGCTCTCGCGGGCCACGGAAGTTCCAGGTCTTTTTGCTTCGGCGTGTGATATTCGTGGTGCTTCACACACCACACCCGGGGATCATCGCCACGCCACTAGTAACAAGGACGCTCGGACACTACTAGGGGCTCCTGGCATTACTACTAGGAACAAGAAGCTACTAGGAGCTCCTGGCCTTACTAATAGGAGCAAGGACGCTACTAGTACGTTCGGACGCTATTAGATGGAGGTCATCTAATAGAAGGTTGGAGGCCATCGCTACTAGGAACAAGAAGCTACTAGTAACAACATGCATAGTTTTTGCATCGTGGCACTTTGTGTTGTTTTTTCACTTCTCTGTGGTAGGTCCTAGTTCTAGCCTACCTTCAGGTTGCACGCCAACGCACACTCCATTCTCTTGGTTGGCGCCACATGCATCTCGCACGTCTGTTCCAGCTGTCTAGGTCCTAGGTGCCTTCATCCATTTTTGACAGAAGTTCTGTGCACCCGTTCGGTGCTCGAACGAACAAAATCCTTTGTGTCACAAACTGTTCGCACTTTCGTTTCTATGGCGATGTTGGAGCTGATTCGTCCGCATACCTTGCGCACACTGCTCCGCATTTCCTCACTGCAATACACTTTCTAGTCTTGCAACGTACACCGTGCACCGTACGCCATACACCTGCATCTTTACGCATGGCCAACTCGTTGTGCCATGCGCATACCTTAGGCGCAACTTTTTGCCCTGACTGCCACTGCCAGCCACTGCCACTTGATTGCGAGAGAACCCCCCCCCGATCCACATGAAACAAACCAACTCAAACCAACAAAACACAAAAAATGGTTTGGTGCGCCGTCCCGGTCACATCTATCATCCCATCTCCAGAGGTGTCCACCTGTCGGAACAAGGCCGTGATCCGCTCGTGGTATGCCGCTTGGGTCCGAGCCTTCTCTCGACTCATGAGCTCATCATCGGCCTGAGCCACCTTCATGGTGCTCTGCACAAAGACCTGAGTTGGTGTGGGGGTTGGGTGGGGGCGCCTTTGGGACTCTGTAGCCCTTTGGGCAAATGATCGAATGCTTAACAAAGGCCTTGGCTGAAACTGCTGATGGCTAATGGAAGGTCACCGATGACCCATGGAAGCAGGAATACAGCCTTTCCAAAAAATATGTAGAGCCTTCATTACAAGACTAAAAAAATAGAAAACACTGCAAGTGGGAATGCAATATGTGCATATCTATATATAACCTTCAGTACAAGACTGAATTTAAATAAAAAATGTCCAAGCGCAACGTTTTGACTTTATTGAGTTGTTGTTTTCATTCAAGCTGGTCATACAAGGAGTTGAAGACAGAATTCACAAGAGCATAACAACTATAGTTATATATATATATGTGGCCTAAGTTTCTATTCTTTGTCAGAAGCCCTGAATCTGTTCCATGTTTTCTTTTGACTGCTACACCTGTTTCAGTCCTCTTTTCTCCTTGCCTTGCTCAATCATGTCTCTAGACTCGTGCAATGTCTATGGAAAATCTATCAAACCCCTAACCCCAAAATCATTTACAGTAGCTGCGGTTTAGCTCTTCCAGGAGAAACAACGAGCGAATTGACAAACACAAAATGTTCTTCAGTTTCTTTTTGTGGGGTTCTTGCATGTATTCACCCCTGTTGCTACGCAGCAGGTTCCGGAGGAAGTTGTTCCAGAGCAAGTGCCTGCAGCAGGTTCCAGAGCAGGATCCGCAGCAGTTTCAGGGAAGTGTTGCCACACCGATTCGTGACATTGATATCATTCGCGTTGCGCACGCTGATATGCTTGTGTGGTGTCACGCTCACATGTTGTCATGCTGGCGCGCTGGCGTGGGTCATGCTAACATGCTAACATGAGATGCTGAAATCGGGTCACGCTGTCGCACTGACTTGCTGGCAGGCTCAAAGCCAGTTCCGGAGCAGGTTTGCTGCTTCTTGCTTGTTTTGGCGTTGTCGTGGTTGCGCATATGTGGGCACATGATGTATGCTATGCCATAGCTATGCCGACATATTCCCATGTTGGTATTGCACAGCAACAACACGACACTTGTTGGTCAACTTGCGATGGCGCCACTCCTTTTGCGGTTTTTTGATGCCCAGCTGTTGAGGATGTTTCTTGGGCCCATTTTTGATTGTAGTCTTGGGGTGAAGGCTTGATATATTTTTTCCCAACCCCACGTCCATGGCTGCGGACATTGGCGCCCAAAAGGGTGAGTGGTTCTCAGTGGTTGTCAGTGGAAAAGGCACTTGTTCTAGGCCAAAACTTGTCGC